CCAGTTGATTAGTAATTCACGTGATATTTTGGATGGATAAATTTAAATTGTAAGCCGTATATGAACGTAATCAAAAATATTATCATAATATTATTATCGATTATCAAAAATATAGAAACGACGAAAAAATGAAATCGATTACGCAAGAATATATGCGCAGTGATTTCTAGAAATTACTGAAATCTACAGATAATCTGATACTTTGATAAGAGAGAAAAAAGAAACAAAGTTTTTCTAGTAGTCTATTATTTTCAATAACATATCAAATGGAAAACAATGACCTGTTACTACGATTAAAACAAACGGGATGCAACGCGGCCTAATCGCAAACCGATCGAATTTTGCACTTCTGTTACACTCACACGCCAAATACGGCCAGTAACGTCGTCAACCAAGCAACGACATTTTCATTGAGGATTATATAGAAAAATCATTTCACAAACTCTTTACAATAAGCCTTATGTCAAAAATATTTGTAATATTGAGAGTAGTGTTGACCGCTACATTACTTCACTAATATTAGAAACTTTATACAGGAGAAAAAAGAGGACTGAAAAGCATTAAGGTACGTAAATAACATTCATCAACACTGAGAGACATCAAAACTTACATCCATTTGAAATGTATAGCGATCTTTTTTACTTGTCATGACTAGAAATACTGAAGTATATACGTTCTCTTTTCAAGTGTGATTAACACATCACCTAAATACCAACAATTTACGTAATAGCTTTCCTTTTGCATTTTTATTCGGATACAAAGTAATCTGAATTTATTATAACTTTTAGATTAAACTACTGTAGCACTCATGAACTTATGTAAAGACGTAAGGTATGTAAATAATAACTAACAACGAACTACCCCCACGAAGTCACAGGCACCTCTATTTTGCGTATGTAAACTTTCAAACTTGACGTCAAAAAATGGACTGTATATTAATCCACAATCGTTAAGATGCAATTATTTCACGAAACCAAATATATCTGGCTGAAATTTGATAATGGCTTCAAATTCACGAGCACTACGTCATTTACGCAATAGACCTAGCTTTTCTAAAGCTTTTGTTGACTTTCATACACAACCGAAGTGGAGGAGAAATCACCTCAATCATAAGTATTGATGAAGGGACACAAAACCAGAATATTTATTACATCCAAACAATAAGATAATTTGTAATTAGCATTAACGTTCCGGAATCTGAAGATGGTGAAATCCGCCAACACATGCACTTTGACAATTAACATTATAACAAGTACGTTACATCAAATTTGTAGAACGAAAGTATATTTATATATCCCACTTTATTAATATGGAATAAACGAGCAGGTTACAAATGAAGATAAACAAAAGCATTACAAATAAAGATGTTGCAAAAGACGTTGTCATTGGTTGATGATCGAAAACACTTAATGAGGCAAACACGAATTTCTATTTCGAGACAACCTGAAATACGAAATAATAAAAACATGCATTTAATGAATATATCTTCAGCACAATATAAATTAAGAAGTGTGATAAATAACGGCAAATCACCACGTGTGCTGCAGCTGCCTCAACAAATTTGTCGTGAAACTCCTTCGCGATTTCGGCTGTTTTAAACTTTACTGTGAAAATCTCATCCGTACCTTCGCGAGATTCAGAATAATCCTATATTTCGTTAGCATCTCATTGACAATAATAACGTAAGTGTAATCGTATCGATTTTGACAGTGATTAGGAAACTTTTCCTTACCCGACATATCCAGTTGTACGCATGTTGAGCACCTTTTTTCTCATTAAGTTCAATAGAAGGCGATATGGCGAAATTTGCGCAAACTTTGTGCACCTGATCTCGACGCATTACCACACGATATGCATTATTTTTAGGATTACGTAATATCTAAATAGATTACCTCACTAAACCGATATGAAAAGGAAATTTCTATGACATATATTTGACGGACCTTCAGTTCGCCAACACCTCTCTCCTTGTTTTCTTTTGTCTCTTTTATAAAACGAAACAATTTTGCTCTCGCAGTGAAGACAACCTGGGCAAAACATACCAGAAACTTCGAAACAAGACAACTTCTTAAGCACTAGTAAATATGTATTATTTATAAGACAATTATTATACAACAGTAGCACTAAGCAAGGATGACTTCAGAGAAGAGTGCGCTTTGTAAATTACCTGTTCTCCTTCTTCTCCTGTAACCACTTCTACAAGATCTGGTAGAGGAATCACGGGAGCAAAATCAACGTCCGGTTCATAATCCTCATCAGCACCACGTTCCGCCTCTTGCTCACCACCATCTCCTTTATTTTGTGTTGAGCTTGCATTAATTTTTTCCTTCTTATCGGTTATGGTGAGCTTAAAGCAAACACAAACACAGTTTCCACATGTCAACAAAAAAATAAAACAATCAAAATATACTTAATATACCTTGCTTTTTGCTTGTGCTGCAAACTCTGCCTGTGCTTTTTGAGTGTGTGCAGA